CTTCAGTTTCAGCCTTTTGTTTAGCTTCAGTTTCAGCTTTCTTTTTAGCATCATCTAACTTTTGCTTATCTTGCTTCTGTTTAGCTTCAAGTTCAGCTTTTTGTTTTGTTGCCTCGGCTTCAGCCTTTTGCTTAGCTTCAGTTTCAGCCTTTTGTTTAGCTTCAGTTTCAGCTTTCTTTTTAGCATCATCTAACTTTTGCTTATCTTGCTTCTGTTTAGCTTCAAGTTCAGCTTTTTGTTTTGTTGCCTCGGCTTCAGCCTTTTGCTTAGCTTCAGTTTCAGCCTTTTGTTTAGCTTCAGTTTCAGCTTTCTTTTTAGCATCATCTAACTTTTGCTTATCTTGCTTCTGTTTAGCTTCAAGTTCAGCTTTTTGTTTTGTTGCCTCGGCTTCAGCCTTTTGCTTAGCTTCAGTTTCAGCCTTTTGTTTAGCTTCAGTTTCAGCTTTCTTTTTAGCATCATCTAACTTTTGCTTATCTTGCTTCTGTTTAGCTTCAAGTTCAGCTTTTTGTTTTGTTGCCTCGGCTTCAGCCTTTTGCTTAGCTTCAGTTTCAGCCTTTTGTTTAGCTTCAGTTTCAGCTTTCTTTTTAGCATCATCTAACTTTTGCTTATCTTGCTTCTGTTTAGCTTCAAGTTCAGCTTTTTGTTTTGTTGCCTCGGCTTCAGCCTTTTGCTTAGCTTTAGTTTCAGCCTTTTGTTTAGCTTCAGTTTCAGCTTTCTTTTTAGCATCATCTAACTTTTGCTTATCTTGCTTCTGTTTAGCTTCAAGTCCAGCTTTTTGTTTTGTTGCCTCGGCTTCAGCCTTTTGCTTAGCTTCAGTTTCAGCCTTTTGTTTAGCTTCAGTTTCAGCTTTCTTTTTAGCATCATCTAACTTTTGCTTATCTTGCTTCTGTTTAGCTTCAAGTTCAGCTTTTTGTTTTGTTGCCTCGGCTTCAGCATTTTGCTTAGCTTCAGTTTCAGCCTTTTGTTTAGCTTCAGTTTCAGCTTTCTTTTTAGCATCATCTAACTTTTGCTTATCTTGCTTCTGTTTAGCTTCAAGTTCAGCTTTTTGTTTTGTTGCCTCGGCTTCAGCCTTTTGCTTAGCTTCAGTTTCAGCCTTTTGTTTAGCTTCAGTTTCAGCTTTCTTTTTAGCATCATCTAACTTTTGCTTATCTTGCTTCTGTTTAGCTTCAAGTTCAGCTTTTTGTTTTGTTGCCTCGGCTTCAGCCTTTTGCTTAGCTTCAGTTTCAGCCTTTTGTTTAGCTTCAGTTTCAGCTTTCTTTTTAGCATCATCTAACTTTTGCTTATCTTGCTTCTGTTTAGCTTCAAGTCCAGCTTTTTGTTTTGTTGCCTCGGCTTCAGCCTTTTGCTTAGCTTCAGTTTCAGCCTTTTGTTTAGCTTCAGTTTCAGCTTTCTTTTTAGCATCATCTAACTTTTGCTTATCTTGCTTCTGTTTAGCTTCAAGTTCAGCTTTTTGTTTTGTTGCCTCGGCTTCAGCCTTTTGCTTAGCTTCAGTTTCAGCCTTTTGTTTAGCTTCAGTTTCAGCTTTCTTTTTAGCATCATCTAACTTTTGCTTATCTTGCTTCTGTTTAGCTTCAAGTTCAGCTTTTTGTTTTGTTGCCTCGGCTTCAGCCTTTTGCTTAGCTTCAGTTTCAGCCTTTTGTTTAGCTTCAGTTTCAGCTTTCTTTTTAGCATCATCTAACTTTTGCTTATCTTGCTTCTGTTTAGCTTCAAGTTCAGCTCTTTGTTTTGTTGCCTCGGCTTCAGCCTTTTGCTTAGCTTCAGTTTCAGCCTTTTGTTTAGCTTCAGTTTCAGCTTTCTTTTTAGCATCATCTAACTTTTGCTTATCTTGCTTCTGTTTAGCTTCAAGTCCAGCTTTTTGTTTTGTTGCCTCGGCTTCAGCCTTTTGCTTAGCTTCAGTTTCAGCCTTTTGTTTAGCTTCAGTTTTAGCTTTCTTTTTAGCATCATCTAACTTTTGCTTATCTTGCTTCTGTTTAGTTTCAAGTTCAGCTTTTTGTTTTGTTGCCTCGGCTTCAGCCTTTTGCTTAGCTTCAGTTTCAGCCTTTTGTTTAGCTTCAGTTTCAGCTTTCTTTTTAGCATCATCTAACTTTTGCTTATCTTGCTTCTGTTTAGCTTCAAGTTCAGCTTTTTGTTTTGTTGCCTCGGCTTCAGCCTTTTGCTTAGCTTCAGTTTCAGCCTTTTGTTTAGCTTCAGTTTCAGCTTTCTTTTTAGCATCATCTAACTTTTGCTTATCTTGCTTCTGTTTAGCTTCAAGTTCAGCTTTTTGTTTTGTTGCCTCGGCTTCAGCCTTTTGCTTAGCTTCAGTTTCAGCCTTTTGTTTAGCTTCAGTTTCAGCTTTCTTTTTAGCATCATCTAACTTTTGCTTATCTTGCTTCTGTTTAGCTTCAAGTTCAGCTTTTTGTTTTGTTGCCTCGGCTTCAGCCTTTTGCTTAGCTTCAGTTTCAGCCTTTTGTTTAGCTTCAGTTTCAGCTTTCTTTTTAGCATCATCTAACTTTTGCTTATCTTGCTTCTGTTTAGCTTCAAGTTCAGCTTTTTGTTTTGTTGCCTCGGCTTCAGCCTTTTGCTTAGCTTCAGTTTCAGCCTTTTGTTTAGCTTCAGTTTCAGCTTTCTTTTTAGCATCATCTAACTTTTGCTTATCTTGCTTCTGTTTAGCTTCAAGTTCAGCTTTTTGTTTTGTTGCCTCGGCTTCAGCCTTTTGCTTAGCTTCAGTTTCAGCCTTTTGCTTAGCTTCAGTTTCAGCCTTTTGTTTAGCTTCAGTTTCAGCTTTCTTTTTAGCATCATCTAACTCTTGCTTATCTTGCTTCTGTTTAGCTTCAAGTTCAGCTTTTTGTTTTGTTGCCTCGGCTTCAGCCTTTTGCTTAGCTTCAGTTTCAGCCTTTTGTTTAGCTTCAGTTTCAGCTTTCTTTTTAGCATCATCTAACTTTTGCTTATCTTGCTTCTGTTTAGCTTCAAGTTCAGCTTTTTGTTTTGTTGCCTCGGCTTCAGCCTTTTGTTTAGCTTCAGTTTCAGCTTTCTTTTTAGCATCATCTAACTTTTGCTTATCTTGCTTCTGTTTAGCTTCAAGTTCAGCTTTTTGTTTTGTTGCCTCGGCTTCAGCCTTTTGCTTAGCTTCAGTTTCAGCCTTTTGTTTAGCTTCAGTTTCAGCTTTCTTTTTAGCATCATCTAACTTTTGCTTATCTTGCTTCTGTTTAGCTTCAAGTTCAGCTTTTTGTTTTGTTGCCTCGGCTTCAGCCTTTTGCTTAGCTTCAGTTTCAGCCTTTTGTTTAGCTTCAGTTTCAGCTTTCTTTTTAGCATCATCTAACTTTTGCTTATCTTGCTTCTGTTTAGCTTCAAGTTCAGCTTTTTGTTTTGTTGCCTCGGCTTCAGCCTTTTGCTTAGCTTCAGTTTCAGCCTTTTGTTTAGCTTCAGTTTCAGCTTTCTTTTTAGCATCATCTAACTTTTGCTTATCTTGCTTCTGTTTAGCTTCAAGTTCAGCTTTTTGTTTTGTTGCCTCGGCTTCAGCCTTTTGCTTAGCTTCAGTTTCAGCCTTTTGTTTAGCTTCAGTTTCAGCTTTCTTTTTAGCATCATCTAACTTTTGCTTATCTTGCTTCTGTTTAGCTTCAAGTCCAGCTTTTTGTTTTGTTGCCTCGGCTTCAGCCTTTTGCTTAGCTTCAGTTTCAGCCTTTTGTTTAGCTTCAGTTTTAGCTTTCTTTTTAGCATCATCTAACTTTTGCTTATCTTGCTTCTGTTTAGCTTCAAGTTCAGCTTTTTGTTTTGTTGCCTCGGCTTCAGCCTTTTGCTTAGCTTCAGTTTCAGCCTTTTGTTTAGCTTCAGTTTCAGCTTTCTTTTTAGCATCATCTAACTTTTGCTTATCTTGCTTCTGTTTAGCTTCAAGTTCAGCTTTTTGTTTTGTTGCCTCGGCTTCAGCCTTTTGCTTAGCTTCAGTTTCAGCCTTTTGTTTAGCTTCAGTTTCAGCTTTCTTTTTAGCATCATCTAACTTTTGCTTATCTTGCTTCTGTTTAGCTTCAAGTTCAGCTTTTTGTTTTGTTGCCTCGGCTTCAGCCTTTTGCTTAGTTTCAGTTTCAGCCTTTTGCTTAGCTTCAGTTTCAGCCTTTTGTTTAGCTTCAGTTTCAGCTTTCTTTTTAGCATCATCTAACTCTTGCTTATCTTGCTTCTGTTTAGCTTCAAGTTCAGCTTTTTGTTTTGTTGCCTCGGCTTCAGCCTTTTGCTTAGCTTCAATTTCAGCCTTTTGTTTAGCTTCAGTTTCAGCTTTCTTTTTAGCATCATCTAACTTTTGCTTATCTTGCTTCTGTTTAGCTTCAAGTTCAGCTTTTTGTTTTGTTGCCTCGGCTTCAGCCTTTTGCTTAGCTTCAGTTTCAGCCTTTTGTTTAGCTTCAGTTTCAGCTTTCTTTTTAGCATCATCTAACTTTTGCTTATCTTGCTTCTGTTTAGCTTCAAGTTCAGCTTTTTGTTTTGTTGCCTCGGCTTCAGCCTTTTGCTTAGCTTCAGTTTCAGCCTTTTGTTTAGCTTCAGTTTCAGCTTTCTTTTTAGCATCATCTAACTTTTGCTTATCTTGCTTCTGTTTAGCTTCAAGTTCAGCTTTTTGTTTTGTTGCCTCGACTTCAGCCTTTTGCTTAGCTTCAGTTTCAGCCTTTTGTTTAGCTTCAGTTTCAGCTTTCTTTTTAGCATCATCTAACTTTTGCTTATCTTGCTTCTGTTTAGCTTCAAGTTCAGCTTTTTGTTTTGTTGCCTCGGCTTCAGCCTTTTGCTTAGCTTCAGTTTCAGCCTTTTGTTTAGCTTCAGTTTCAGCTTTCTTTTTAGCATCATCTAACTTTTGCTTATCTTGCTTCTGTTTAGCTTCAAGTTCAGCTTTTTGTTTTGTTGCCTCGGCTTCAGCCTTTTGCTTAGCTTCAGTTTCAGCCTTTTGTTTAGCTTCAGTTTCAGCTTTCTTTTTAGCATCATCTAACTTTTGCTTATCTTGCTTCTGTTTAGCTTCAAGTTCAGCTTTTTGTTTTGTTGCCTCGGCTTCAGCCTTTTGCTTAGCTTCAGTTTCAGCCTTTTGTTTAGCATCATCTAACTTTTGCTTATCTTGCTTCTGTTTAGCTTCAAGTTCAGCTTTTTGTTTTGTTGCCTCGGCTTCAGCCTTTTGCTTAGCTTCAGTTTCAGCCTTTTGTTTAGCTTCAGTTTCAGCTTTATTTTTAGCATCATCTAACTTTTGCTTATCTTGCTTCTGTTTAGCTTCAAGTTCAGCTTTTTGTTTTGTTGCCTCGGCTTCAGCCTTTTGCTTAGCTTCAGTTTCAGCCTTCTGTTTAGCTTCAGTTTCAGCTTTCTTTTTAGCATCATCTAACTTTTGCTTATCTTGCTTCTGTTTAGCTTCAAGTTCACCTTTTTGTTTTGTTGCCTCGGCTTCAGCCTTTTGCTTAGCTTCAGTTTCAGCCTTCTGCTTAGCTTCAGTTTCAGCTTTTTGTTTTGCCTCAGCATCGGCTTTCTGCATTAGATCATCAATTACTATCTCCCACTTACTTATAACTGTTTCAACAAATTCAATTGTTTCATATAAAAATATTTCAAGCATATCTGTCGTTTCATAATTAATTTCTACTTCAAGAGTAAAATCTGTTAGCAATTTCGTTTCTTTTTCTTCCATTTTAACTTCTTCCCTCTCTTTTCCTCCAACTTGAATTATTTCTGAAACAACCTCCTCAAACGATTCATACAAATTTACATCCAAAACATCAACATCCTCAAAATTTATATCTACCCTCAAATTTACTTCTTCTGCTTCAAATGTCACAGATTTCTTTATTTTCTTTTTATCTTCATTTATTGTTATTTCTTGAGTCTCTTTTATTGCTTCTAATACACCTATTTCGATATGAGCTTCTGAATCTATTTTCTTACAAGAGATGAGTATATCTGCTTCATTTTCACACATTTCGTCTAAAAAATTTTTTTCACATTTAAAAATTTTGCTTCAGGTACTTTAATAGAAGCTTAAACAGAATACAGTAAGCAAGCTTGCTTTAAAATTTTGATTCAAACTAGTTTGCTTAAAGTCAATTTTGTGCTTGAATTTCCCGAAAAAGCTTGAAGCAACTCAAAAGTTTGAAACATTTTCAAAATTTTGCTTCAAATTAGCTTGTTTAAAAATTCTTAACCCACCCGATTCTGTTGTCATTCTACATTCAGTTGAAGCTCTCCCATACTCATTTATACCCTCACAAGTATAACTCGCTTCGTCACGAAGATTTATGTTTAGTATAGTTAAGCGAGTAGTTCCACTTGACATTACCGTATCGATAATGTATTTACTAAAAATGATAGTCTGGTTTTTAAAAAGATTCTGATTTATTTTTAAAATTCTGATTTTTTTATAAAACTCTGATCTTTTAATTCTGATTTTTTAATTCTGTGTTTTTAATATTCTGATTCTTTAAAATTCTGATTTTTAAAAAATTCTGATTTTTATAAAATTCTGATTTTATCAAGAATTCTGATTTTTATTAAATTCCAAACTCACTCTTCATTCCCCACAATAATTGACGAGTCCTTTTTCCATATTAACCGATTAGCTCCTACACACTTTGCGGATAGTGTGATGTTCTGTCCCTCCTATTTTTAAATTTAAAATTTTCCTTTAATCTATTTATATGAAACACACATTTAAATACAAACTCGGCGCCAACGGCACAATAAAGAATGGTGGGACCCCTCCAAATGAACTTGGACGTGTTATTGTTGTAGGACGATGACCCCTCCTTTCATCTAATCTTTCCAAGACTGTAGAGAGACTTTCGCGTGACATTTTTCTTTCCCCTAAAGAGAATTTTGAGGTCGGTTTTTGTTGTTTTTTGCGGCCATAACGTGCTGAGTAGAAGGTTTTGAGGGCATATTCTGCTACACCTTCAGAGTGAGGCTCTTCTACTGCTTCAAGGGCAATGTCAACATTAATTTCATTATTGCCTGAATTTTAATTTTAAAACGTATTCCCTATCTTTAATTCCCGTATTTCCCGATAGTAATCACCAAAAAATTACCGTAATCCTCAATTACCGTAATTCCCCATTTTTCTAAAAATTATTTTCTACCTAAAACTCGAATAGTGCCACTTTTGCTTGTACTCATTCCTGCACTCGAATGAAGTTCACAATGTATTTCTTTTCCATCCCATTCAATTGGCACCTTTTGAGCAACTAAGTATGAGGCGCCCTCCTCAACAATACAATCAACAAATCTTGAAAAACAAATAATTTTTAGGTCTCCCAAATCTCTTTACTTATTTCCCAACACGGGCTCGTTACCAATCCACCACGTAACTGTTGGAGTTGGAATGCCTTTGAATGTGCATTTTGGAAATACTTGACGCTCTACACCTTCAAGAAGCTCAATTGGAACTGAAGGTAATTCTTCTAAGAACTCCGGCTTCTGATATGATACGGTCGTCGAAATTTGTTTTTTCTCAGTGCTCTCCACTAGAAATATTAAATTATTTAAAAAACTATCATAAATAAGGATCGTGTAGGCAATTCCTCTATCAGTGACCAATCAAATCACAATAAAACCACCTTTTTCTAAAAGAAAATCAGCTACAATCACTTCTATATTCGCACATTCCTGATTTTTAACTATTTCTAATTTTGCCCCACAACGTGCTGAAAATTGTGCTTGGAATAATTGTTCCAATGAAAATAAGTCTGAAGTTAGTTTTTCCTTAAACTCCTCCAATTTTTGGAGGATTGAGGATTTTGCAAGGATTTTTCTAGTAATTCCAGAAGCATTTGAACGATCCATTTCCTGCAAAATTTTGAGAGAAAATTCAGAAAAATAGGTACTGTATTCTCTCTCACCAATATTTGTGCTTCCGATTCTCCTCTTTCCAAGTCCTGCACAAACAACAAATCGGCAGCAATTGTCTCGAGTTCAAGCTGAGACTAAAACATTAATTTTAAACTTAAACATCTCCAATCCTTTACAAAACTAGCCTTTCTTTTTATCTTATCTCCTTTTCCGGAATCTCTCGTTTCCTCAGAAATATCCTCAGTACGTTCAGAAATGTCAGAAAGAGGTTCAGCTTCGGATTTTTCCAAAGGAACTAAATTTAAAAATATTTTCTCAAATTTTTTTACAAATCTATACCTTCAGGCTTTAATCTGACTAATAACTGAGAATCCAAATTCTTTTCCTCTTGAATCCCTTTCGTTGTATTATCCCCAGAAGAGGTAAAATAGCCTTCTGTTTCTATTAAACTTTGTTCATTTTGCTGAGTTTCTGGTTGTTTTTCTGATTTTTGAAGCATTTTGGTCTCCTCTTTGTCTTTGTTTTTAGTCTTTTCTTTACTACCCAATTTAATATTTCTTTCAACATTTAAACTATTTGTTTCCAATAAATACACATTAAAAGCAACTACATGAGGCGGAAGATTCAGAAATACACCCAAAGTTATCTTGTTAATTTTTGGCTTTCCTCCATATGGGATAGGCTGTGCTGGTGGGTGTTGTTCTGGTTTACGGTCTGGGGTCCTTTCTTGCTCGACAACCACAATTTGGATTTCTGCCCTTCTACGGGAAGGTGAACGGCTACTTTGTTGTTGCTGCTGTTGTTGTTGTTTCGCTGCAATTTCATCACGATGTTGCTTCACTTTCTGTGCAATCTCTAATTGTCGTTTTGCTTCAAGTTCAGCTGTATCAGCAATAATATTCTGATTTTCATGAACGTCTTTAATAGTCCACGTTCCATTGACCAAAAACTCATCCTTCTCCGAAGAGACAGCTTCCTGGACAATTTTTTCTTCAACAGGCTTGTCCCTTCGTCTCTCCTCCTCCTTCTTCTCTTCCTTCCCAACCTCATCAGGTTGTTCAGTTAAAAACCCCTCAACCGTTCTTAAACGATTTACAAGCTCTAAAAGTTCCATATCCTGCAAATTAACGTTATCCAATTGTTGCTGTGAGGGCCTTCTTTGTGATAAACTTTTGTTACGTTCTTCTTCTGAAATATCTTCTCTATCGGCTCCTATTTTCTCTTGAATCTTTCCCTCAACAGGTTCTTCAATTTTCTTAGCCTCTGAGCTCTCCTTGTTGATGTCTACTTCCTTTTCTGATTTTGAAGCAATTTTTTCCTTCTCTTTAATCTTTGAAGCGGGTAATGACAAAACTTTTTTGTTAACACTTTCAACCTCAAACATCTAAAAAATATTGAAAATATCAATTTCTATAAGTATTCACCTGTAGATTAGCCAGTATATTTAAACTATCTGACATTTTATTATTAATTAAATCAATTTCTATCAAAATATCTCCCTCTTTTTTTGCTTCAGTTTTCTTTTTTGAAGCAATTTTCTTTTTATCAACTTTCTTTTTATTATTTTCGTTATCAACCAATTTTTGAGTAGCCTCTTCGAGAGCATTAACAAATATATTAGCAACTAAATTATCCGCCACACTTTCAGCTACTTTAACAAGTAATGAATAGGTTTCTAAACAGAAAAGAAATATTTTTTAATTGAAAGATTTGGAATAGAGATCGGACTGGGATAGTTGTTTGAGAATCGAGATCGATATCTCAAATCTCAATCCTGATAACCAAGATTTCGCTCGAGATCAAGTCTCAGTCCTCCCTCTAATTTAAACCTACCTTCCTGTTTCTCAATACTAATTAAATCGTTCTCCAAACTTTGCTTTGCTTCAGTTTGTTTTACTTTATCAGCTATTTTCTTAGCTTTCTTTTTACTAGATTCAACGACTTCTGAATCTCCACTTTCCTGCACTCCTTGCGTATCTTTCTTCCTCTTTTCTAATTTTCCTGGCTCTTCATCAGTCTCTTCTTCCTTTCTCTTATCTTCCATTTCTTCAGTTAATTTTTTATTAACATCATTTTCATTTGAAGGATCAAAGCTATAATCAACTACCACTTTTGTTCGTTTAATATCCTTTCCTAATTTATTCACAGCATGAACCTCGACTTTAAAATTTAAAAAAATTTTATATATCAATCATTTCTCTACCAATTCCATCAACCGCTTTGGCAAAAGATATTTTTTCGTTATTCTCGCCAACATGTTTAATTTGTACTTGATCATTCGATTTTATTTCAAAATTATTATGTTTCCATTGAAATTGTGCTACAAAAATGAGATTTGTTAAAAAAATATCTAGATTAGAGGCACTCTCAAATAGTGCCCCCCACCTTGGAGGATAGTTGAAAAATAGAGCCGCATAGGGCTTTATTATAGGCAACACGTTATTTTTGTTTACCTTCAGGTCTAGCCTCTGCTTTAACATCTAGTTCAAAAGGCATATTCTCTCCTATTCTATAAACCTCTTCAAATTCCGAAATAATCTTTGGAGCTATATCAATCCGTTTAACTGCATCACTTTCTTCCTTTGTTGGACGCTGTTTTTCTGGTTTAAAGATTGGAGGGGGTGTAGGCGATTTTAAAAGTAAGGCACGAGAACGTTGCATGAATTCGGGTAAATCTTGATCACTTTGAGGGGGAACTTCTACAAGTACTCGACATTCGTAGGTAGCCATTCCATGATCATTTTGAATTACTGCTTTGTAAATGCCTTCTGTTGGGTTTAGAATTGTGCTGAAAATTTTAATTTTTTTGTAATAATGGATGAGTGCCAATATAGTATCATTAATAGCAGCTTATAATTCACCGTACTACCTCTAATAGGATGCTCGGGAGTTCTATTATCAATCACCTACCTGCCAAGGAGGCATTCAATTAGAGGTTTGTATTCTATTGGAGGTAGTACGGTTAAAGGTAATACACTCCTTACAGTTTCTCATGATTTCTTTCCAAATTCTCAACAATCACTGTATTTCCATTTGGATGTAATTCAAAATTCTTTAAATACCAACGAATAGTACAATCACTTTCCGAATCCGCTTTCAATTCTAAAACAAGTGGAAGTCCACCTGGAACAAATATTCGACTGTCTGGAGCTTGGACTATTTCGGGTCTCTAAAAAATAAATTTTAAGGAAATCCCTCCAGCTTTCCTCCACCTTTTGTTGTAAAATGTGAATCTGTTCTACTTCCCTCATTGGTGCTTCTTCAATAGTTTGTGTACTTACAAAAAATTTATCACCACCGTTCCCATCCTTTTCGTTTAAAAATTCATCCTCCTCGTCAGAATCCTGTTCAAACAATTCTTGGCGTTCTACTCTTTTTTGTATTATTTTTGTTACTGTTTCGGAATCGTCTACAAAGTTTTCCTCAATCGTAGACAAGATATCATCAGAAATTGTGACCTTAAAATTTTCTCCGTTTTTTATTAAAGATTGTTTCACATCTACCATTGTTTCACATCTTCCCGTTCCATAAGCATTAGAAGCCTCAGCTACATAAATTCCTTCCTTGGGTAACCCACCCTCTCCCCCACTCTCTACTAACAATCTAGATTCATTATGTTCAGTAAGTACTCGATATTCATTTTTCTCCAACTCCTCAGCCAATCCTTTTCCGTTAATAAACCAATTTATTTGTGCTGGTGGATAAGCTTGGCAAGCGACGTGTAATTCAAGTGTTTTTTGCATCTGTTTTGAGAGGCAAATTGTTGGGGGCGGGAAAACAACAAAATTAGGTATGATAGGTGTTCTGTCAGCATTGACACTTTCCTTTTCTGGAGTTGCCATTTTTGGGCGGACAATTAGAGAAGAATCAAATTCTGAGAAAAATGTTGATTAAAAGAAAATTTCTTCAAAATTCACCACTATCCGCCCTGGAACTTTCTCCAGAGGCCTTCCGTTTTGGTAAACTAGAGGAACGATGTACTACAGTAGTTGTGTGAATTGTTGTTTTTGTGCGTGAGCCAGAAAATCTTTCTCTTGACCCTCCTCTGCCTTCACTACTTATAGGGGGAAGTGTTGTTTCTCGTAGAAGATTTGTATGGATGTTGGAAATTGAATTTAAATCTGGATAGAACAAGGCTTTTATCAATAATTCTTACATTATACCTGATATTCTCTCAATAAACCCTGTACTTTTGGCAATTCCTGCCTCATTTTTGGCAACACAAGTATAACGTCCAGGCTTTGCATCTTTGAAATGAGCAACACAATGCCCAGATTTTGGTAAAAAGAATGTTGCATTTGCAGAATCTATTGGAAATACGTCTTCTGATGTATTTGTTGAGATAATTTCAGCGATAAGATGACCATCCAGATACCATGTAAAACTGAAAATAGAAGGGAGGGTTAGCTGAATGGACAGGCAATAGGACAGTAAGACAATTAAACAGGAGACTATTGGATTGAGGGGGGCAACTGGGCAGTGAATCATGTTGAAGTGACGTGGGGATTGACATATTTCAGAATCTGTTCTATTAGGTATGTGTGAGGGGGGGGCACCTGGGCGACCGTCGCCGCCTGTCCTTATTCATTCTTGCCTTTTGCCACCTTCGTTATGATTGTATTTACTATTCGGATAAACGTGTTATTCTATTCTTGTGTTATTCTGTTAGTCACTAGGTAAGACAGCTACCCTAGGACATAACATGTTCGGACTTCCAATTGTCCTCAGTAATTTTTCCAAAATGTCTACTAAAAAATTCTACCTATCAGCAACAGGTCTAACTTCAACATCAAATACAGCAATTTCTGAGTTAATCAAAGCTAAATTGGGCACATCAGTCAAAAATCTTGGTGGCCTCTTTGTACTCTTTGAATGTGTTGTAGTTGGTTCGGGTGTAGGGGGTGGGGAAAGTATTCCAATAATTAAATTGCTCGTTTCTTCTGTTTGTGTTTGAGAATCTTTTAATTAAATTTTATTTAAAAATTTAATTTTATAAAACCATTTATTTTTATATAGCCATAAGACTTTGAAATGCCTGCTGAATTTTTTGCTGCACACGCATAAATGCCTTCTAGTGGGTCTTAAATTTATAAAAAAAATTTCTTTTTTCTTAAATTAAATTTTCCCAACTTTGTATGTTCATTATGCTAACATTTCCGTTTGTTTTTACTGTAAATACAGTGTTTTCATTCTTTATTTCGTTGACTGGTTTATCATTGCAAAACCTAATAAAAAATTATTTTTTATATTTTCAATTAATTAACACCATTCAAATTCAGCAACAGGCCAACTTTGTACTTCTGCAACCAAAGTTACCCTGTCTGTTGATTTTAACCGATATGCTTTTATTCTCTTAAAAAATACTTTAAATTATTAGTAAATTTTAAAATAAAGTTTCGAAGTAGATTCGCCATTTAAGACCTCTTTTTGCAACTGTTTCCAGTAAAATAATTTCTTCGAAAATAGGATTTTGGATTTCGCTTCACGCCGGACCGGCTGGATTTTTTGGTTTAATCCGGGACAAAAAATAATACTGCTCGCGAAAATCCCGGGTCTGATTGTGAGGCTCGGGCTACGAAAAATCTGAACTGGATCAGGTTCGGCACCGGATACTCGTTGAAATTTAAAGGGCTCCGCCAAGTATAGTTCCCTTTCACAGCTAAGCCAAGCGGGCCAAAAAAAATTTTACTTGTGCTCATTTTTTCCTAATATTATACAATATTTAAATTTAACATATGCGCAATTCAACTCCCGATCACTTTAGTCGACTCCTATTCACTTTCGATATATCTCAATTTATTGACTCGCTCCCAAATCACCTTAAAAGACACTTTTACAATTTTCAAATTGTGTTAAGGAAATCGTTTGTTTACGTTTATTTTATTTGTTTTACCATAATATTATTGTCTGAAATCGTCGCGCTGATGCGTATAAATTTGATTTGATTTGATTTAAAAAATTCCGGGATTACAACAGAACGCCAAAAAAATTTCGCGGACTTTTTTAATATAAAAATTTCCTTTCTTTCTTTTACCTGCTTAAATTTTGGAGGGTTAACAACCACAAAAGATTTAATTTCCGAAGTAAAATGTTCTTCTGTTTTTAAAACGTCACTTTGCCCTTCATTTTCAATTAAATGGGTTTGCTGTAGAGTTAATGAAGCAGAATTATCGTCTACGATACTTGTAGATTCTGAATTGTCTTCTTCTGAAGGGAGGAGATGATGAGAGGAAATTCCTTTAGGAAAAAAATTTTTGAATTTTTTTGAAGAATTTTTTCGTGTTTATATTCTGCCACACAACGCAGAAATTATTTTTCTAGTGCTACTCAACTTGTTTTTGTGTGAAAGAAAATATTCTAAAAAAATGTTTACTGCCTAATTATTTGCCTCATGTAAAGTTAATGAAACAGAATAATTATCAACAATACTTGTCTTCTTCTGAAGGGAGGACTACTGCCCATATCACTCACTGGAGAAATCACGATTTTACCAATTCCATAGTTTGCCAATATGCCCAAAAACCCCACATTTTGTCTCACCACCCCATTGGCAAAACGTCGGATTTTATCCTTATTGGCAGCTTATGGAGGGGAGCCATTTTCCTTTTCCCCTTACCATTCCTTTTTGTATCTCCATTCTGTTTATTTCCGTTCTGTATTAATGCTACTTGTTGCCCGTTTGTTAATTCTTGTTGATTCTGATTTGATTTCTTTTTCTGATTTTTATTTATTTCCTTCTCCTTTTTAGTAGACGAAAGCATTTTTGTTTGGTTGTTTTTAATAAAATTGTGTTGTGCCGGTATACATTTGATTAAATTAATAAAATATTGTGTTCTGATTCTAAAGAATAGAAATATTTTTTAAAATAGTAATAATAATAAAAAATTAAAATAAATAATGGAAGCTTAGTATAAGTCTATTACAGATTTATGGGTAAATATTTCAACAACCAGAAACTCAGAAACCAATAAAATCAGAAGAAACCCAAAAATATACAAAAAAACCCATATTACATGTATTTTTTCCGTCTTATTTTTGGGTTTTTAACAATTCAATCTAATGATTTATATTGTTTTTAATATTTTCAACGGCTGGCTTGAAAGAAGAAATTATATTTTTAAGCCTTAAACTAACAAATGTTATACCACACGTTTGCATGTTCTCATTTACTCATTCACACAAATATTTTTAGTGAATCGGAGGCGTTTTGTTAAAAGAGAAAAAAAAAATTTTGAGGGAAAAATAAAACAAAAGTTCGACTTGATCCTTTCTTTAATTAAATGGATTTTTTGAGTTTTGTCTTTTAGGCACGGAGATGGTGGGGTTACTGTAGCCCTCTTTGGAAATTTCACACACCATAGAATCATCTCTCATTTTGGAAAACTTTATTGATAGTGAAAGCCGAGGGAAGTTTTAACCTGCCAACAAAGGAGAGGCCAAAGGAGAGGCTTCTACCTGTCTACCAAATTTCATCCCGAAGTCCCACGGACACCCAAAAGCCTCTCCTTTGTAAGAGAAAACAGGAAAGTTCATGGAATGGTTAAGTGGTTAACAATTTTTGCATAGAAAAACACTCATGATCAAGCCATATCCAATCTCTTATTATTTTCTGGGGAGAGTTCGGCTGCTTTGTTTTTATTTTTTAGTCTATTTTTAAATTCTTAAAAAATTTTAAAAAATAAACTTGTGATGGCCAGCATATTCTTTTCTTATTTTTTATTTTTTCTTTCACTTTTATCTTCAAAAAAAATATCCATGGCATCGATCCGTGGATTAACTCAAAATAAAAGAAGCATTCATTCCTTTCATTCTTTTTTCTCACTTGTCAAACATTAACCAAATGTTAAGCAAAAAAATAAAATAAAATTGACTAGAATATAACGTTATATTTTTTTTAATTTTATTTCTAAAATATGGGGGACCGATTCATTGTTTTGGAAAGAAATTAGAATTTTTTCTAATTATAGAATTTATTTTTATATTATTAAATTTTGGTAAAAATTTTTCAAATTCTCAAGTCTGCAACTTAAAGAAAGAGAATGCTTATTAAGGAAGAAAGCTCTAAGAGTGTTGATTATTTTACCAATCAAGATTGATTTGATCAGATCATCTTACAAAAAGTTATAGTCAAAAAGTGAGGTTAATCATAATTTTCTATCTATAGTTGGCTTTAACTTTTTGTAGAATGTTCAGATAAAATCAGTTCATTCTTAAAAAGATACCGCATCTCGAGACCTTTCGAATAATATGAGAATTAATCGGAGGAAAAACAAGAAAGTTATGGCCCAACATATGGCACAGAAACTAAATCGTCCTTTATCCGCCATTTTTACCCGTTTTGGCGTTCTGACGTTTGGCGTGTTTTAAGAATTTGAAAAGTTGGCTTTTTGCGTAGAGATAAGATTTCTTCTTATACGCGTACCAGGCATTTAATTTGCTGGGCCCTTACTGGACGACAGGCCAGGGACCAGGTTAAGCCAACTTAAGTGTTCAGGCTACTTTTTGAACAAACAGGGTTCTTCATGAACTCAAAGCCAAAGACTCAGATCAGGCCCCAGTTTCAGAGTCCATTAATAGTTAAATAAATTCGAAAAAAAAATTTTTTTTCTTGCCTAAGGCAAGAAAATAAAATTTCGGAGAATTAAGGGAATAAAGGGGAATAAATTTTGGAATTCCCGATATTAAACTTGTTTTTATTTTAATTTTTCTTTACAATTTAATTTTAATAAAGAGCAAAAACTTGTATTTTTAATAAAATAAACTTTTATTATTCTTTAAAAGTTGCGAATTAATTGTAAAAATTTATAAATAAACTTGTTTTGGTACATAAATAAACTTTGTTGCTTTATAAGAGGTTGGATTTATTTGGATTAATTCATTTGCAACAATTTAAAACTTCTTGAAACTTTTGATGTTTTGTTTTTGAAACTTATTAAAACTTAAACAATTTTAAAATATTTATTTAAACATGTTTGTTTAGATGTTTTATACATCTTTTATAAATGTTTTTGTTTAGTTACTTTGTTTTTATAATGTTTTAGTGTTTAATAAACATTTTTATAATGTTTTTGTGTTTAATGTTTTTGTCAATGTTTTTGTGTTTGTCAATGTTTTTGTTGTTTTTATCAATGTTTTTGTTTAATTAACTTTGTTTTTATAATTTGTTGAGTTTAATAAACATAAAACATGTTTTTGTTTGATATTCATTTAATATACAACAATTGTTTTTGTCAATGTTTTTGTTTAACAAACTTTGTTTGAGATGTTTTTATTCTTAATAAACATTGTTTGCCATGTTTTTACGATTAATAAATATTGTTTTTACAAAAATAGATAGAAATACAAATTAAATGAAGTCCTTTAGTTTAAATATTTTTCTGCTTGTTGCACTAATATTATTGTTAGATAAACATCAAAATGAAAAGGTTAAAAAATGATTTATTAATTAAAATAATATTTTTATTCTTTCAGCATTCATTTGGTGTTCTAGCCGATCCAGAGCCTTACCGTTCGCCGGATGTAATTGCCGCTGAAGCTAGAGCACGTGCCCGTGCTATTGAAGCTGAAAATAGGGCTCGTCGGGCTCGTTTGGAGGCTGAAGCAAGAGCACGCAGACTTGAAGCTGAAGCTAGAGCAAGAGTAAAGAAGATAAAAAATAAATTTATTTAAAAATAATTTTTAGAGAATTGAAGCAGAAGCTAGAGCTGCTGCGGCTAGGCAATTTATTCTTTTTTATTTTTAATAAATTACAAAATAAAAAAATTTTTCAGAGCCCGCGCTCGTGCCATCAACGGCTAATTTTTCAAAAGAAAAATCAAGACTGCCATACCTATAAAATATTATTTAGAACTCAGGGAAAGTGAGAATGTACTCAGGAAAATTTAATGAAAACAATTACTTAAATTATTATTTTTTAAATTAACGATATTCAATAATTCAACTTACATTGGAATTTTATAATTTAATAAAATAAAATAATTTATAAAAAATTCAAATTAGTAATTCCTTTATATTTTTAAATCGGATACTACACCCAATACTTGGTAGATACACTTCAAGGATCCATCGGGCTAAAAAAAATGTCGGGTCAGCTTTCTGGTCGATTTTCATAATTTTCTTCAGATCGGGTATTGTATTTAAAAGGCTGTCAGTTTTTTTCTCTTCAATCCTTTTCCTAAATTAGGTTGGCAACTAGTGAACTTTGAAGCCCTATAACTTTTCGAAATGGTGGTCAGGGGAGGAAGAGCCAAAAATTGGCAATAGGATATCTACCACGCTCTATACGATGGTATAATTTTTAATTAAAAATTTTTGGCCACAGTTCGGAAGGTTTCCTTGTAAGTGTCAACTCTCAATTTATTATACCCCTCATTATAAGATACATACAAAATTTTCAACAAGATGAGGTCCGACTTCATCTTTTAATGAGGTCAGACTATTTTTTTTAATTTTTTTCCGTTTTTATTTTTCCATTCTTTTCCCCTCTAGGCTTAAAAAAATAAAAGAAGACCTATCGATTTACACACAAACAAATAGGGGGAAGAAAGAAATACTTGGGGGGATATTATGAAGAGTTGGGGGATAAATGAGAGAAATATTTTTTATGAGTAAAAAAAAATGAGTAGCAGCCGTTAGTTTTTTTGGAGAGATTTTGAAAAGTATATAGTCGGCAATTTAAAAAAAATAAAAAAAAAGAAAAGAAAAGCATCATTTGCCACACTTTTAAAAAAAGATTTTTTAAATTTATTTTTTGAAAAATGAGAAAAGTTTTTTTATTATTTTTGTTGAATTTTGAAAAATAATAAAAATTTTAAAATTTATTGAACTTTAAGTATTCTCAATGGTCTCTAAATGTATGTATGAATCAGATCCCCGATTAGAATGTTTCTAGATTCCCTGTCTTTTTTGCTTTTGAATTTTGACAGTATTGCTCTGCTTAGTAAAGTACTCTTTCACTTGATCCAATTAAAAAAATTTTTTTTTCAATGTCTAAATTTTTTTTCGAACTTTCCTTTAGGTTGGCATGATAACTGATAGTATTTACTGTGTTTTAAATTTAAAAAAAATTTTTTAAATAGAATTTGAAGGGACCTAAGAGAAAGGAGGGATGATCTAAGAAAAGGACGGCATTTACTCATCTCTCCAAAGGAAAGGAGGGATGAGTAAATGTCGTTTAATATTTTTTGTAGTATCAAGTATTTCGTTGAATCAAGCAGTTCAATAAATCCAGAATCGTTTTAAAATTTAATTCAAGTCAAGACTGTTTATTCTAGTCTCGGGACTGTTCCAAGAAAATAAATTTGAATTTAATTTAAATTTTTATTGTTAAATTTATTTAATTTTCTCCTTGTTTAATTTTTCCACCCTTTTATCACTTGCTTAAAAAAATCTTTTATTTATTTTTCCCCAATTTTTTTCTAAATAGTCAATAATTCAATTGCCCTAATAAAATTTTTTTCTTGAGGATTTTGATGTTAGTAGCAGGCAAAGGAAAAGGAGGGATGAGTAAATGCCGTTTAAAAAATTTTTTTATCAATGAACAGGGAATAAATAAATAAATAAATTGTATGGATAAAGAAGAAAATAAATAAAAAAGTTTTTCGAAAACCTTTCTCTTTTTATTTTTTTTACTTCTTTTTAAAGTGTCCTCGATGCCCTAAAATGAAGGATAAAATAAAGAAAGGGTTTCATTTGTGCTACGAAAAAAACTTTAGCAAAAAACAACTGCCATCCGAACCACAGCAAACAACATCTCGATGGGGTTGTCCCCCTAATTTAATGCCGCCGAAAATAAGACAAGCAGCATCCACAATTGAACTGCTTCAACAACCAAAATTTGATGAAAAATTAAAAGAGCTTTACGAAAAGAAGAGCTATTATGCGGTCATTGAAAGATTTCCAGAAATGGAAAACGAAGAAGAAGACATAAAAGCTATAGAGAAAAATGTCCAAGTAGTAGTAAACAACAAAAACTTTAAGGATACCAAAAATTTCGAAGTAAAAAGGCATGGCATCAAAAAACAGAACAACTACCACCGCATTATTAAAGTAAAATTTTCAACCCCATCAGCTGCACACTCGTTTATCAGTCTCTATAGAACAATACATCAACCGAAATTGGGTGGACATAGCCCTTTCGCAAGAAGGGACCTAACTCCACCGGAACTACAACTTCAAAATTATCTTAAACAGCAAGTCAAAGAAATTAACGAGAAGCATGGAAATGGCACGGCTAGTTATCGTAATCTTAAAATTTTTTATAAAAAGCAAGTGAACATGGACTAGGATATAGGGACCCCACAGATAATCAATCAGAAAAATAAGAAAAAATTTGAAAAATTAAATTGCTTACTATTAAATATACGCTCCATTAATTCAGAAAAAACCGCAAATAAATTATTTGAATTAGAAAATTATTTAATTAAAAATAATATTCATGTAGCTTTTTTAAGTGAGACATGGCTAACTGATAATACATCGAATGAATCCCTTCTCACTTCTGATAGTTACGACTTTTTGAGAGTAGATAGATTAAAAAAAAGAGGCGGGGGCGTAGGCGTAGTTTATAAAAAGGAAATAAAAATTATTAATATTCCGACACTTTCAATATCCGCATACAATCATGAACTCCTTACCTTCGATATTTACTCAGAATTTAAGAGAATTAGATTCCATTTAATATATAGGCCTCCAAATACAAAATTAGTCGATGATAAAAATTTTTGGGGATTAATAAAGAAAAAATACAAAAATGATCTCTCAACTATTATTTTAGGGGATTTAAACTTTCCGAAAATAAATTGGCAAGAGTTTACACTTCCGAAAGAAAATCAGAATTTATATTTCTACAATACCTTAAATAAGCTAAATTTAAATCAGATAATAAGAGAACCAACCATGTTTAACAATTCCCATACACTAGACCTTATCCTACAAAATAAGCAATTAATAGAAAAATACAAAATTATAGATGATTTAGTTTTGAGTGACCACAAAACGATAGTATTTGAAGTAACTTTTCCGATCGAAAAAGTAAACTCTAAAGAAAAAAGAAAAGTACTATTATTTAAGAAAGGAAAATATAAAACAATTAATTGGTATTTAGCCCAATATGATTGGTACAATATATTTAAGGACAAGAATCCCTCTGAAATTGCCGAAATACTAAATTCCATAATAACCCAAGTAATTCAAAAATTCATCCCATTAAAAAAATTGGGTGAAAAAACACCTATGAAATATCCTAAAGAAATTAGGGAAATAATCAAACAAAAAGCTTATGCTTGGAAAAAGCTAAAATTAGGGGAAATTAGTAAAGATAATTATAAGAGTCTTGAAATTAAATGTAAATTACAAATAGAAAAATATAAAAATAATTATTTATCCAAAAAAATAGGATCTGGTCATATAGGGGAAATACATAAATTAATGAAGAGAAATCGATATAAATTCTCCGGTATACCTCCACTTAACGAATCTGAGGAAGGCGATCCCATAATATTAGACACAGACAAAGCAAATAAATTTAGAAATATTTTTGAAGAAATAGTTAGCGGAGGTAAAAACAATATACAAGCAAGCTTCGAAGCCAAAGATGGATATCAGAAAGAAATCATTTTTGAACCTTATATAATAGAAAAACTACTAAAAAAACTCCCAAATAAATTATCCCATAGTCCTGAGAATATCAATCAATATTTTCTAAAAAAATGTGCTACACCCTTAGCTCTTCCTCTCTCTATTTTATATGAAAATACATTCAAAACAGGAATAGTCCCTGAATTATGGAAAACAGCTCACATTCTACCGATATTTAAAAAGAAGGGTTCAGTAAACGACCCAAAAAATTACAGACCAATCGCATTAACATCCCCGACTTGTAGAGTTTTTGAGCGCATAATAGCAAATAACATCTTAGAACACCTATATAAACATAAATTAATTGCTGAAGAGCAATTTGGATTTCTACCTAAAAGCTCTTGTACACTTCAAATTTTATCATCTATGCAAGATTGGTATAATTCACTTGATAGGAAGATAGGTACGGACGTTATATATTTTGACTTTGAGAAAGCCTTTGATAAGGTAGATCACCAAATACTTATAAGAAAATTACAAGAAATAAAAATAGATAGCTTAACAATTAGATGGATAGCAAATTTTCTCTCTAATCGATCCCATATTGTAAAAATAGATGATCATTTCTCTGAACCATTTCTGCCAAAAACAGGAGTTCCCCAAGGAACTGTATTAGGACCATTGCTGTTCCTGATATATATAAATGACCTACCCAAACATATCCCAAAAAACATAAAAGTAAAATTATATGCAGATGACTTTAAGCTCTATTCGGAAATTAATACAGAAAAAGATTGTATAGAGCTCCAAGGAGCTATAAACAATGCATATATATGGGCAAAAAATAATAGACTGGACTTCTCTATCTCAAAGGTTAAGGTTTTAAAAATATACAACAAAATTAAGTATAGCTATGAGATTAACGGTGACAAAATCGAAGAAGTTAATAACATAAGAGATTTAGGAGTATACATAGATAACAAACTTAAATTTGACCAACATGTAGCAAAAATCACTAAATCCTCATTTATAAGACTAAATAATATTCTAAGAATATTACCTAAAACATTACCAATAGATACATATGTAAAGGCATTTAAAACATACGTAAGGCCAATTATGGAGTATTCCACTGAAAGTTTTAGCCCTAAACTAGAATATCTTAATAGCCAATTAGAAAGACCTCAACGAAGCTTTACAAGGAAAATTTTAAGATATAAATTCAAATACCAAAAAATAGGATATACCGAAAGACTAAAAAGATGTAAACTCCCTCCAACTAAAATCCGTCGCATAAGAACAGATCTTATGACAACCTTCAAAATAATAAATGGTTTCTATAAAATAAAACCAGAACAAATGTTCTCTAAACCAAATAGAAATAATCTGCGCTTGCATAGATATCAAATATTTAAAAAACAAACTAAGAATAATCATTTCTTTTCACATAGAGTCATAGATAGATGGAATAAACTTCCAAAAAATGAAATTGAAAAAATTAGTACTATTCCTCAATTTAAAAAATTTATAGACAATATATTAATCACAGAAGACCCTAATTTATGAGTAACGAATTAATGGAGTGTAAAATAACAAAATCCTAGCCTAAATGTTCACTTTCTTTTTAACATACTTACCTTTTAAATAAAATTAATTTTGGTACAAATATTTTTTTTACTTAAATTATACCTACATATATATTTTTTGATATTCGCTTTTATTTATTTTTTTTACATTTTTTTTTTCTTGTGGAGTCCATTTATATATATACTTTTTTTTAATTTAACATTTTAACTGTAAAATTGTAATTGATTTTTATTGTAAGTTACCTCTCCATAAGTGATCCTTGTGGATCCAGGAGTTTTATTTTATTGTTTCACATTCATTTATTTGTGTTCGATAAAGAAAAAAAAAAAAAAAAAAAAATTTTTTATCAATGAACAGGGAATAAATAAATAAATAAATTGTATGGATAAAGAAGAAAATAAATAAAAAAGTTTTTCGAAAACCTTTCTCTTTTTATTTTTTTTACTTCTTTTTAAAGTGTCCTCGATGCCCTAAAATGAAGGATAAAATAAAGAAAGGGTTTCATTTGTGCTACGAAAAAATAAAAAAATTTTTTGAAAGATTATTGAATAGCTTATAGACAGTTTTATAAAATCTGTCGTTTTTTATTTTAGAAAATAATAACAAGTCATAGGAGGTTGGGAAATTTTTTTAAGCATAAAAATTTTTAACCAAAAATTTTTTGATTTTTTTTTCTTAGACGTCCCTACATTTTTTTGTCATATTTTTGAATTTTTATAATTTTTAATTTGGTTCCTTTTTTGTTATTTGTCGATAACCTTAATTTAGGTGATCGAATAAACCGTTCAAAAATTTTTTTGTATTTTTCCCTTAGACGTCCTTAGATTTTTCTGTCATTCTTTTGAATTTTTATAATTTTTAATTTAGTATCCGACATAATTCAATTTTTTTTGTTATTTTTCGATAACCTTAATTTAGGCGATCGAAGAAATCGTTCAAAAAATTTTTTTAATTTTTTTAATTTTTCAACGTTTTCGAGTGTGTCTGTATTTTTTCTACTTATTTTTAATAAATAAAATTTAAAAAATAAAATTAGAAATTTTTTTGTTTTTAAAAATATATTTTTTTCTTTTTTAAATAATATCCATAAAAATCATTAGCCCATAAAACCCCTTCCCTCCTGCCTTTTTTTATTTCAATTTTTATTAGAGCAAATCTCTTTCTATTATTCCTTCATTAATAAAATCTTTGTTTTTTAGTCAATAAAAATATTTTTTTGAAATTTTTAAAATTAAAAAAAATTTTTTTAGTGAATATAGAATGAATCAACAAAAGGTTGATGCCATCCCCCCTTGTGTTTCTTCTTCCAACAACCAAAACAACAACAACCAAAATCTTCCAACCGACAACCAAAACCTTCAAAAACCTCTAAAAAATAATTTTTCTATTAAAAATCATTCCAAATTAATATTAAATTATTTTAATAAATTTACTTCTTCCGCCAAAATTTTATTTTTAAAAAATAATAAAAATAATAATTATAATTATTATTGTCATCAACAACCATCTACCCCCTTAATTAAAAATAATTTTTTAATTAAAAATAAATTATTATTTAATTTTAATTCTTCCCAAATTCTTTCTTTTAATTTCCTAAAATTTTTATTTATATTTTTGTTAATCCAATTTTTATTTTTAAAAACTACCACAACTACTTTAATCGACTCTAATCGGTGCACTCGAAATTCGATTAATTTGGGAAATATTATTGAACAAATTTTGAGGGATTATGATACTCAGTTAAATTTTTTTTGAAATCTTTAAAGAATAAAAATTTTTAAAGTCTTTTACCTGAAGCTGAAGGTGTTAATGTTACTATAGAATTACATGTACAGGTAACTAAATTTAATTTTGAAAAAAAAAATTTTTAAATTAGGAAAGAAATCTTGTAAATCATAAGAAACCTCTCTCTCTTTGGTGAAGGAAAAATACCCCCATGAGGAAGGAAAAATAGTTGTATTTTAAATTAGGAAGTATTTTTTAGGGTGTCTTTTAATCACCTTTAAAATTTGCCTTAAATTGAGGTTTATTGAACCCTGGAACCAGGCCTGACAATTTTATCTACACGTCAGGGTTGCCGCGGGTACAAAAAATCTTCGGGTACGGGTTTCGGGTATCGGGTTGGAGCGTTTTCATTTCGGGTCACGGGTTTCGGGTTGGCAAATATATCGGGTACGGGTTTCGGGTTATAAAATTTTCATTTCGGGTCACGGGTTTCGGGTTGGAAAAAAAATCGGGTACGGGTTTCGGGTTTCGGGTTGGAAAATTTTCAATTCGGGTATCGGGTTTCGGGTACAAAAAAAGGCCGGGTTTCGGGTTTCGGGTATCGGGTTTCGGGCGGCAACCCTGCTACACGTTACCCTTTTAGGAAATAACTGTATCAATTTAATTTTAATTAAACTCAAGTCCATATTGTAATAAGACTTGTTTTGTTACTAAAATTTATTTTTAAAAAAATTTATTATTTTAAGGGTGTTTCAAAAATATCAGAAATTACAGCTGATTTTGGTAATTAAAATAATAATTTATTAAAACAAAAAAATTTTAGAACTCGATTTAATGTACAGCGAAATATGGTTAATTTTATTAAGTTTTGATTAAATTTTCATTTTTAAAAAGGATGGATCCTCGTTTAAGTTTTAAACACTTAAATGTCTGCACTACGAATATTACCCTAAAGTAAGATTTTAAAAAAATTTGAAATTGTTTTGGAAATTTTTTTTAATTTTAGAAGCGATTTTCGCGCGAGGGTATGGACGCCAGACACTTGTAAAAAATATTTTTTAATTTTTAAAAATATTAAAATAAAATTTTAGGCATAATTAATTCGAGAGGTTCATCAATACATCGAAGTCCTTCCGAAAATACTGTAATTTTAAAAAGTTAAATTTATGTATTATTTATTTTTTAGTTTGTGATATTATACGAGCATGGACTTGTTTGGTCTAATTTTAGGTCCTTTAATTACTAATTATTTATATATGTTTGTATTTTTTTTGTTTGTATTTTCCGGAAAATACAAACACTCATTTAATATAAAATACAACCCTATATTCCGAAAAACACCTTTTTAATTGTTTCCGGAAAAATGCGTATATACATGTATTTTCCGGAAATATAATTTAATATAAAATACAACCTTATATTCCGGAAAACACTTTTTTAATTGTTTCCGGAAAAATGCGTATTTATGTATTTTCCGGAAAATACAAACACTTATTTAATATAAAATACAACCCCATATTCCGGAAAAACACATTTTAATTGTTTCCGGAAAAATGCGTATATACATGTGTATTTTCCGGAAAATATAATTTAATATAAAATACAACCCCATATTCCGGAAAACACCTTTTTAATTGTTTCCGGAAAAATGCGTATATACCTATGTATTTTCCGGAAAATAAATTCAACTCTTATTTACCCGAAAATACATAAAAAATACATTTACCAACTTATTTACAATTTTTAAAATCTTTCCGGAAACATTAAATATTATATTTTATTTACTTTAATGTTTAGATTAAATGTAAGAGCACCATGTAAAATGGATTTGGTAAATAAATAAAAATATTTTTTATTCCTTATTTTTAATTTAATTAAAGAAAATGTTTCCGTTTGACTCCATTGTTTGTCACTTAATTTTCGAATCATACTCCTTCAATACTGAAGAAGTTAGGCTTGTATGGCATGAAACGCCTGTGACGGTTTTTAAAAAAAATTTTTTAAAATTTTAATTAAAAAAATAATTTTTTTGAGATGATGGAAAAAGTAGAACTGCCAGATTTTGATTTAATTGGATGGGGGACAGATCACGAAAGATTAGAATACCCAAACGGAATATGGGTTACTTTAATTTTATTTTTAATTTCAAAAATTAATTTTAGGACCGTGCTCAAGTAAAATTTACATTCGCTAGACGCTACGGCTTTTACCTCTTTCAATCCTACTTCCCAACAAGTTTAACTGTCATTAGCTCGTGGGTAGGGTTCTTCTTTGATGTTCGTTCTGTATCTGCGAGAATTACACTTGGCGTTTCTTCACTTTTAGCTTTAACTTTTCAATTTGGGAATGTTCTTAGGTTAACTTTAAAAAATAAAAATTTTTTGAAAAATTCTAGATTTAAAAAATATTTTTTAGGAGATAATTCAGAAAATATAATAATTTATTCCGGAAAAAAATAAAAATACAATCTTAAAATACATATTAAATTGACTTGAAAACACTTCCGGAAAATATGTTTAATTGATCTAGGAAAATACATTAATATATTTTTCCGGAAAAAATAAACACCCGAAAAATACATTTAATTCAGAAAAGTATATACATAGTTAGTATATTTTTCCGGAAAGAATAAAAATACAAGAACAATGAAAAAAATCATTACCGGAAAATACATTAAGTACTATAATTCCGGAAATATAATTTAATAATGCCTTTAATAATTTTCAGGCATTTACCCCGAGTTAGCTACATAAAGGTATAATTTAATATTTTTATTCTTACTCTACCTTAAATTTTTATAATTAAAGTGCCTCGATGTTTGGATGATCTTTTCTGTTATATTTATATTTTTGTATGTATTTTTTTAATTTTTTAATTAATTTTAATTTAAAAGAACACTTGTTGAGTTGTCTATAATTTGCCAGGTTACTCAAAATATTAATTTTAGAAAAAAATTTTTTGTTCAAGTTAAATCGCTGGGAACGTGAAAGGCAGATCGGTTCTAAAGTGCTCGGTCATTGGCTCAACCAAATAAGGCACAAAAAAATTTTTTTTTTATTTTTTAACGTCTGATTTTTAAAGAAAAACACGAAAACAGACAACAAATTTTGATTCTTCCAACCATCCAGACCATTCAGATGGAGGAATGGGAAGTACTGGAGTTGTTAGGAAAAGGTTCTTGTTATCCCCCATCAGAAAAGAAAGCAATTCTGCTTCACCTATACCTTCACCGACATATTCCCCTTCGAGTGTGGGAGGGGGTGGGGGAGGAGGAAATTCGCCCATTCACAACAACGAAAAAATAAAATTAAATCAAATAAAATCGGATTGTAATAATATAAATAATAATACAAAAACAACAACGAATTCTAATTTATTAAATAATGACAAAAAATCGGCCATATTTAGAGGAACAACTACGGAAAATAATAGAAATAATGTTGCTAATAATACTTCTATTACGAGACATGGTTAGAGTAATGATTTAATAGTGTTTTTGTAAATACAAAATAATTCTTGAAAAATACATAATTAAAATTCCTGAAGCGAAAAACATGTATTATAACTTGCCGGAAAATAAAAATACATTAAACACAATTCCGGAAAACACAAATAAAATAACTCATAGATACATAAAATAAAATTCCGGAAACAAAATACATGGTTAATTAAACCTACCGGTAAACAAAAATACAATAAATACAATTCCGGAAACTAAAAATACATTAATTACATTTCCGAAAACACATAAATATAATTCCGGAAATTAAAAATACATAAGCACAATTTACCGGAAACAAACACATTAATTGAACTTTCCGGAAAACGAAATACTAAATTACAATCCAAAAAGCACATTTGCAATTCCGGAAGCAAAAATACATAAAGACAACTTTCCGGAAAACAAAACATATATTTAAATAAATAGACATTTCCGGAAAGCAATAATTTTAGAAAAATCATCCCAAAAATACATTTTAATTATTTAAAATAAATTTTCAGAAGAAGACAATTCTCTACTTATTCCTCAAGTCCATGTAATAATTCATTTTTTTATTACAAATTATTTTTTGTATTTTTAAAGGAAATACGATGGTGGCGCAAGTTATTTAGACAATTTTCTAATCGTTTACATAAATTAAATCCGTTTACTTCTGAAAGGGATTGGACAATTACTTCTGTACAAGTTGACAGAATTTCTATGAGTAAGTGTTTTTATGTACATATTAGACAAAAATTCCGGAATACTTTTCCGGAAATGTTTATTTTTATAAAATACACATAAAAATACAAGTCTTTTCCGGAAACAAAAATACAAGCCTTTTCCGGAAACACAAAAATACAAACCTTTTCCTGAAACAAAAAAATACAAGCCTTTCCGGAAACACAAAAATACAACCTTTCCGGAAACAAAAATACAAGACTTTTCCGGAAACATAAAAATACAAGTCTTTTCCGGAAACATAAAAATACAACCTTTCCGGAAACAGAAATATGCACATAAAACTTAAAAATACAAAATTTTCCGGAAAATACAAAAAAAATCAAATTTGAAAATACATCTTTTTCCGGAAACAAAAATACAAAATACAAAAATACATACAATTAAAAATACTACCCTTCTAGGAAAATACAGAATTAATTTAAAAACAAATTTAATTTTAATATTTTAGTTTTATTCCCAATGTCGTATCTTGTCTTTAATATTGGTTATTGGGCTTATTATTTAGGAAAGATTGGTAGACCTTTATAATTATTATTATATTTTATATATTTTTATTTTTTATAATTTGTTTGTATAAAAAGTTTTATTAAAATTTTTTAAATTTATAGTAAAGATATAAATAGATTTTTAGTCTATTTATAATATGGATATAGTGATATAAATTATTCAAGAGATTAATGATTTTATAAATTAATTTGCACGCAAAAATATAGAGTGTTCCCAGAAGCATTATTTATTTTTATAAAATACACCTATTTTTGGGAGAGTTTTTCGGACGTCTTAATATTTAGAAAATACATACATGTATAATATAAAAATACAAACAATTCCGGAAAAATACAAACAATTCCGGAAAAATACAAACAATTCCGGAAAAATACAAACAATTCCGGAAAAATACAAACAATTCCGGAAAATATTTACTTGTATTATAAAATACACAATTTCCGGAATAGTTTTCCGGAAGCATTATTTTTATAAAAATACATATGGAGCTATTTAAAAATACATTAACATTTCCGGAAAGTTTTCCTAAAGTATTTTATTTCATAAAAAATACACAAATAATTTAAAAACACAAGCATTTCCGGAAATTTTGTATTTAACATCCGTTTCTATAAAAAAAACACATTTCTTTTAATTAATTTTCTTTATTATTTTAATTAATTAAAACCTAGTTTTTAACAGGTGTTTTTATTTAAATAATAAGCATCTGTTCCCTTTAATTTTCTAAATAATTGTGGTAGTCTAGGTAATTACTAATTTATTTAAATTTTAATTTAAAAGCATTTTTGGTTTATTTTTTGAAAAAAATTTTCGTGATTAATTACGCACAGAGGCAGTCACCTTTGGTACACCTCAGAGTCGACTTTAAATTTTTTATTGCTGTGGTTTAGTCAAAATTGTGTACCAAAGAGAAATTTTTTTATTTAAGACCAGAATATTAAAATACAAACTCTAATTACATATTCGTGACCATTAAAAGTTTAATTAGTAAATTTTTATTTTTTTCCTTTTAAAAACGCCTATCTTTTCACTAACTTTTATTTTCATACCTTTAACTAACACAAGCGTTAAATATAAAAAAAACTTGAATTTAAGAAATAAATTTTTTATTCAAAATTTAATTTTCATAAATTAATTAAAAAGAGTATGGATAATAATTCCACAGATTGTCTTCTTGCTAGGGACATAATTTTTAGGGTTGCCGTTTTCGAGTCGGGCCGACGGTCGAGGCATTTTTTCGGGCTTGTTTTTATCGAGTCGGGCCGGTACGGGTCTTTTTAGGGCCAAACATCAACACACACACACGAGTCTTTTTAGGGCCAAACATCTAGGCCCGACTCGATCTTTCTGTCCGAGTCGGTCTATTTTGACAATCCTAATTATTTTGACAAAATATGGACAAATAGCTAGAATTATTGTTCCAGTTTATTCGCTATTTATTCAAATAATTCCTTTCACTCCCAAACAATTACCCAATTAATTACCCTATTAATTACCCTCTCTAATGTTAAATTGAAACAATAATTATTACACATGTTACTTATTTGAGTAACTTTGGCCAGTTTTTCACTTGAACCTAACAATTAATTTTTTGTTTTTCTTTTAAAACCCCTTCAATTTTCTATTTTTATTATCCCTAATTATTAGTTTCCTCATTTTTATTCTTTTTTTTGAATTTTTCTTTTACTTGACACAATTTTGACAAATATGTAAATGTATAATTAAATTACTCAAGTTGGTAATAAAAATACTAATTAGAGCTTGGAACTGTTTGGTAAATGTTGTGTCCTTCACTTACGAATGTACATAAATTTATAAAAATTCTCCCATCGTTAGGTTGGGTTAGCTTGGTTTAGTTAGGTTAGTTTAGTTGGTTTAGTTCAGTTGGTTTAGCTTCGGTTTGGGCCAGAACTGCTCGAAATAAAAGTGGGAAGATTTTTTTATTTCGTTTCGGAGCGAAACGAAATTTTGAGCAGACTTGGGTTGGGCTCTCTCCACGATAGTTGTAACCCATTTGCCATCCATTGGATTTTGCACGGCATGCAAATAATAATAGTAATTTATTTAATATAAATTTTGTGCCCTCGAATTAAATCTGAACCTGGTCTTGTCATTAGATTTTTTAAATACAAAATTTAATTTTTCGTGACTTTTTTCTTTTTAAGAAACGCCTAGGTATCTATACCTATTTAAATAACCTTATAAATTTTGCTAAAACAATTTTACTTTAAATTTCAGAATTTTTTAAAATTAATTGAAAAAAATTTTTTAAAAATGGATAATAATTCCTCTGATTGTCTTCTTGCTAGTGACATTATTTTAACAAAATATGCCCAAATCGCTAGAATTATTATGCTTATTTTTAACACTATTCCAGTTATTCTTTTTGTATTTTTATTTTTGGATTATAAAAAGTATCGGCTAGCTTTACATGGAAATTTAAAAGTTTGTTGTTTTTATTCGATAGAGAAGTGTGGGGGAGGATTTCCCTGTATGCCACCTCTATAGTAAGCCTACCCCGAAGTCATACCCTGGAGATGTCTTAATAGCTTATTAGTTTTGTCATCGACAGGCTCGACGAGGATAATTAACATAACCTTGCCCAACCCAGTTTTAATTTTAAGGAAAATTTTGATTGAGAGGTAGATGAGTCTGTGAATGAGTCTCTGTAGTGTTTGGAATTATTTTTGACTTGGCAACAGAGGCGGTCGGAACTCGGAACTGTCGGAACTCGAAAATGGCTCGAAAGTCGAAACTCGGAAATCGGAAACCGGTCTAAATTTTCGGAAATCGGAATTCCGACTAACCTCTGTTCGTCAACAAATTTGACTCTTATCTTCCTTTAGTAGATCCCCCTCCTATCCCTCTAAATCAACAGTAATCCGTTCTAGTGATTTTTTTATATTTAGCTTATTTATGTATTTATCGTGCTAAGTTCAATGAATATTGTTGCTGGGTATTTTCTTGCTGAACTTCGCCATATTGTAAGAGAATTTTTATTTTTCCGATGGGGTTAATCAAAAAAATCTTTTCAAGTTTTTAACAATTTCCGATCCAACCGGAACAAATCCCTGTTCAATGCTTTGTCCCCTCTGGTATTCCTTATTATCTAGAGGCTGTTTTGGCTTTGTTTTTTCGTGTTCCATGCCTCTTCTGCATTTTTGCGCGGTATTGGAACGTTGGAGAGCTACTAAATTGGCTAGAAAATATGAAAATGAAGATAGGAAATTTGGAATTTTTGTTGTGATTATAGTTGTGAGTTGATTAATATTTTTATTTTTTTGAGAGGAATTTGGGAATAATCTAAAGGAATTTTGAGGAGGAATCATTATGAGTGTTCTTTCTTTTAATAGAATAGAAAAAACCCAATAGACCTAGACCTCTATCTTATGCAGGGAGGTTCTGGACTGAACCAAAGAACCGAGGACATTTCGGTTCGGTTACGGATATCCGAGGATTTTCCATGAACCGACAGCCATAGCCTTTCGCAATTAAAAAGTCGTAAGAATGAAGCAAGAAATAAAGAGGAAGGCGGAAGAAGAAAAATCCAAAAGAGTGGGAAATCGGTGAGAAATGAAGTAGAAAAGACCCCATGCCTTGAAAAGCCTGGCAATGATGCCCAGAAGGGCACTATGGTGTATTGAGAAATTATAACACCCCCCTTTGTTGTCTTTTTAGTTTTTCTGGGTTCTGATTGTCATAGAACCAAGAATCTAAAGTTAATTTTCCTATTTAGATGACAATTTCCTTACTTTATTTTGCATTTTATGCCTATATTGTTTTGGATGATTATAATATGGAATGGAATAAAATGTTGGCATATAATGCTGTAATTAATTTAAATTAGAATATTTTTTTAATTTTTCCCTCAATATTTAAAGACAGTAACAAACAGAAGCAATTTATTGTCCATTTATCAGACCTATTTTATGCTGTTTATTTTAGCTTTAACTATATTGGGGGATTATTTATTGTTGAGAAAGAATGGAAAAATGAGAAGGATGGTTTTTAGCAAGTTTGTTTTTTGAAAAAAAAATTTAAAAAATTTTTCTATTAAAAATTTAACTCGTTTGAAGACAATTCACCGAAAAAATGGGGCAAGGACTTAATTTAAAGGCCTTAGGTTTTTGACTAAGCTCTAGAAAATTAAAAAATGATCAGGCTCTAAACATGAGAAAGATCTGTTGGAATTCCACTTGCCAAAAATTTTGATGAAAATTTTTGATTTCCGGGGCATTCCTTCTCTCTGTCAATTAGGCTTATTCACCGAAAAAGACAATACACCGAAGAAGACAATTCACCGAAAAACATTTTTTTGACCTAGACTTGATGAAAAATACAAGCCCAAGGGTTTCCATTTAGAAAATTGTTTTGTCCTTCTTATAGTACCCAAAAAATAATTTAAAAAATGTTTTAGTAGCAACCAACAATTAAATAACAACGGCTACAGTTTAGCAGAGAATTATCAATTCCACGAGAATTTATTAGCTATACGTTTTATTCTTCCATTAGATATAGCTTATGGATTAACTAATTCGATATATTTTGGTTTAGTAATTATTCTACGTTCATTTCAACCTGTTTTGCCGTTTAGTGTATTTTTGGCTAATTATAATTTAATTACTGTTGTAAGTTTTAAATATAAGGGGAAAGGGACAATTCACCGAAAAGGACAATTCACCGAAAAAGACAATTCACCGAATAAGACAATTCACTGAATAAGACAATTCACCGAAATTTTTTCTTTTCAGCTTCAGCTTGTTTATATTTCCACAGCTTTTGTTTTCTTTAGACGCTATATAAATTTTAATAGAAGTGGAAGACAGAATCATTTAACTTCAATACAACCAACTGATCAGCTTGGGAAAAAATATTTTGAACAATTAAATTTACAATGGAATTAATTAATTTTTTGATTTTTCTAAATTAATTTTTCGATATTATGTATATTTTTATAAGATAAATAGTTATTATGACTGTACTTAAAAGAAACTGAAACAGTAAAAAATTGAAACAACATTTACTCTCGTACCGTTTTTGAAATTCCTTTTTGTCTTTCTCTACCCGTTGTACCTTTTTGTCTTAATTTAGCCGTTGTACCCTTTTGTCGGATATGTGACAGTGTTCCATTTTGTCTGTAGGTAGAAAGAGAAGGAGAAGAATTTCCCTGTACCAAATGTCGGAAATATTTCAACAATTTTTCCAAAATAAAATTATTGGCATTGTGTTTTTGTATTTAAAAATAAAAAGGTAGTTTGAGTATCAATCAAAAAAATTTTTTTCTTTTCATCTTTCCAGAAAAATCAAAAATTTCGCGAGACTCAAAAGGTTAAACTCTATTGTCCATACCGCGCTTTTGCTTTTTAAAAGCTACCCACGCGGTCTTTTTAAATTTTTTTTTAATTTAATTTTTTTTAAATTTTTCTTAGATTTTATCAGTTAAAGAAACATTTATGGGAGCCTTCATTTGTAACAACTGCAACGAATCTTTAAATAAATTCCAACAAATAAAAAAACATTTGATAAGATGTAAAAATTATTTATTTACTTGTATTGATTGTCAACAAATAATTAAATATAAAAATGTTCGTTTACATTTAAATTGTATTGGTGGAAGGGAGAAGGAAGTTGGGATTGTTAATTATATTGCTATGGCTAATAAACAGGACAACAAGGTTTTTTAATTTAATTATTAGGGTAATTTTTTGGGGGGATTTGGAGGGAATGGGGGAGGAGAGGGGATAAGTCGAAATTTTATTTTTTTCCCGAAATTTCGTTTTTCTTTCATTTCGCTTTCATTTTTCGGGTTTCTATAATTTTGGTAACTAGAAAATAAATGCTGTTCCAGATCTCTTCGCATGGCGAATAAGAAGTTGAAAAATGTCCGCAAGTTAATTTGCGGACATTTTTATAGCGTAATCTAAATTTGGAAAATTCCGTCTTATGTTTTATACTTCAATTCGGACGAATAATACTATGTTATTTGAAAGAGCTCGTCGAGCTGAATGAAAGACACCAAGATTAAACCCGGTTCTCAGTTGTGGGTTGAGTTATGGTCCCATAATGGTCAAAAACGTAAAGAGTGACCAGAATGTTTTGAATTGGCGTATGGGACAAATAACGGAATTTTGCCTCGAGTTTTTTTATTTTTTCTTTACTAAAAAAATTTTTTCACAGAATGATATTATGGAGCAATCTTCCTCTCAACAAATGGACATTTCCTTTACTTCAATGGATACTTCCACCAATAATGACAAAAAACCTGATCGGATGGAACAACTTTTGAAGGAAATTGAGAATGAAGTTGGACAAAATGATGAACAAAAGCTGGACAAGAAAAAAGGTTTCTTTTGTTAATTTTATTTTTAAGAATCAGGTATGGGGGTAGATATCTCTTTAGTCAATTGTGGGAAGTAAGTAAGTCCATTTTTCTAACAATAAGCTTGGATAATTAAGAAAATTTTTTGTAGAAAATTATTTTCAATTTCCATCCAAATTACTCATTGTTCACGGGTATGCTCCTTTTTTTGCCTGGGACCGAAATTCTGTTTTTGACATAACCGAAATTTCCAGCTTTTTGCTAGTTTCAAAATTAGAATTTTTTATTATTTAGATAAACCAAAACGTCGAATACACAAATCTTCACCAATTAATCCAACCAAATTAAAATCAAAAGCAAGACGTAAACTTCTTCAAGTAATCCCGGAAACACCCGAAAAGTCGGAAAATAAAGAAGTTGAGGATTCTTTTGAAGTTGTTAAACAAACACCTTTGAGTAAAATATCTTCAGGTTTTTTTTCTGATTATTTTTAAATTCTTGTCAGCCCTCACTAGTGTAAGATACACTCAATACGGTACTTATTTAGTTTCCCCCCCCCCCAGTCAGTTTTTTCGAAAAATATGTAAAAATGGTCAGTCTGAACAACAATTGTAGAACCCATCGAGCTGAGTCGAATGACACCAAAATCAAAAAAATCCGACTTGATTTGACCGAAATACAGACCCCTGAAAATTGAACAACCATGGGGGTGATTTTTCGAAATAAAAAAAGTTTACCCAAGTGATAGCTCATTCGAAAGAGCTCGTCGAGCTGAGTCGAATGAGACTAAAATCAACGAAATCGGACTTGATTTGACAAAGTTATGACATTATTTAGACTTACCGGAGTCAACGACTTATGTCATAACTTTGTCAAATCAAGTCGGATTTCGTTGATTTTGGTCTCATTCGACTCAGCTCGACGAGCTCTTTCAAATGAGCTATCATTTGTATAGATTTTCGTCTTTATGATTTTGTGCCCCTGTGGTTTAGGGGTCTGTATTTCGGTCCAATCAAGTCGGATTTTGTTGATTTTGGTGTCATTCGACACAGCTCGATGTGTTCTACAATTGTTGTTCAGACTGACCATTTTTACATAATTTTCGAAAAAACTGGCTGGGGGGGGGGGAAACTAAATTAGTACCCTCAATACTTCCTAGACTAGGATATACGTTCCCTCCCCATCCCCCCAAAATGCCTTTACATAAAATGTTTGCGTTTTATGTCAAGAAAAATAACCTTCAAAGTAACTCGCTCGACCTTTTTTCTTTTCCGTTATATTTTCTGTCGCAAGATGCATGCGATTTTTATGTAAGCAATACCTCAAATTTAAGATATACCACATAAGATACTATTTTCCAGTCCCAAGGGGGTGTTTATAAATAATGTCTATAATCCATTATAAAGACGTTTTCCTTTAAAAAATTTTTTTATTTTTAAAGAAAATACTTCATTAGCTTCAAAATTATCAGAATTATTATTAAAAGAAGAATCTAGATTAGAAAAGTCTCAACAACGAAAAAGAAAATTAAATTTTTCAAAAGAAGAGGGAAATGAAAACAAAATAATAACAAATAGAGAAATTTTGGAACAGTGTATAAAAAATAAAAATTTGGGGGAAGATGAGGATTTGACAAAGCCTAGTAGTTCAACAACTAATAACAGGTTTATTTTTTAACTTGTTAAATATTCGGGGGCTAGGGATGTCACTTACTCGAAATCTGATCTTTTTTCGTTCCTTAATTTGAAATTAGATACGGAAACAATTTAAAACTCGTCGACGATCCGACTTATTCTTTCAAGCCATAACATCCTTTGCAGCAGCTGCGCCGAAATATTTGGTTTTCGGCTGGCTCTAGTATCTGTCTCTACCCCCAAATAATTCTTCTATTTCCATGGTCCGTTGAAAAGTTGCATTTACAATACTTAAGTTTTGGCACAAATTCCATTTTAGCCTTATAAATTCGATTTAAAACTACGCCCTTGTCTGACGTTGATTTGCCCCTCAACAAAAATTTTGAAAATAATAAAAGAAATTTTTTAATAATTTTTTTAAAGAAAGCGTCATTTAACACCTTCAGAAATTAGTTTTACAAATAATCTTAAACAACTATCAATAGCTACTAAAAAACCTCGTCGTCGCCTATTTTCTTCACATTCATCATCAAATAATTCTATTAGTTTTCCTGGGCAGAAAAATGATTAAATTTTAAAAATTTATTTTTTATTTATTTTTAATTTCAATATTTTCATTTGTTGGGGTAGTTCAAGAATTTTTTTTGAACCCAAAAAAATTTTTTTTGTTTAGTTTCTTTTAAAATCCAAACCAATTTTTACTTCAAAAATTAAGATTAGAAATCGATTATTTTATTTTAGTTTTCCCCTAGTAATGCTAATATTTAATTTTAACAAAGAAATTAAGAAAGCTTTGAAAAATATTCTTAAAACTTAAAATCGGGTTTAAACATTTTTGAACTATCCTTAGTCTTGGTGATAATAAAAAAGAACTATAAATTTATTTTTTTATTTTTTAAATTAAAGAGTTGTGTAAAGCTACTCGATTCGATATTATTTTTAAAAATTTTCCAAATTAATACTGGGGGAGAGACATAAATGTAAGTTGAACAGAAAACCTGTAACTCCGTATTTTTTCAATTTATGATATTTTTGTCGGGAACAGGGCTGTCCGCAAATTAAAAAAAAATTTTCCGCAAGCGCAGTCCGCAATTTTTTTAAATCCGCAAGTCCAAAAAACCACGCAATTGCGGATTGCCCTGGTTGGGAATCATAACCAAACCAAAATTATAGAGTTTTGTCTGTTTAAATGTTTGTTTTGACCTCCAAATAATTTTTTTGGATAACAAAAACCCGTGGGTATCTATTAACAACTAACTTTGTGTCCTCTCCTATTTAATAATTTTTTTTTCAAGATTTTTTTCAGATTTTCTAATAAAAAAATTTTTTTAAGAACAAATGTTTACAAAGCATCGTTTTCAAATTAAAAATAGTTCAAAACTTAAATATTCTGAAAGGTTTTTTAATTTATTTTTTTTAAATAATTTTAATTTAAGTAAATTATTATTCCCCGAATTTATTTCCAATTGCTTCAACAAACAACAACTTGTAAAATTGAAAGTTCAATTTACTTATGGATCTAATGCCGTAATTTATTTATTAGAAAAAGAGCCAATGATTTTTCAAGATGGAGCTGATAAAGAAAATTTTTTTCCTTCAGGTTTGATTTTTTTGAAAATTTTTTAAAATTTTTGAAGGTTTTTTAATTCATTAGCTTTATTAATTATAATTTTTTTAAAAGTTTCTTTGGTTAATAAATAGTCTAGCAAACTTTTCACGTCCGTACTAAATTAAATTTTAAACCCATAATTTCGATAAACTACAGCATTCAATAATATATATTTTGTTTATTGGAATAGATCTCTTATTTAATTAAAGTAACCTGGTAATCACTTTTGTATTTGGGCAAACTAACTATTTTTGTAAATATTTTTTGAAGCAATTTTTATTTTTTATGTTTAAACTTTAATTAAATTTTAGGGATTTTTGGTGGAGTTTTCTGGCCTTCAAAAAAATTTTTTCTTTTTCCCAATAAATACATTTAAAATTTTTATTTTTAAGTTTATTTTCTGTGGTCTTTTCCAACAATATTTCCAATTTTATTTATTCAACATTCAACTTTTGGATTTTTAAAAAAAGGTGCTGATTTAATGATCCCTGGAATTGAATTAATTAATCAATTTCCAAATTTTGAACAAAATTGGCCTGTTGGGATTTCTACAATTTGTAAAAATAAAGAAGGGAATGGATATACTATTTGTGGGCCTTTAGCTGTTGGAAAAGTTTTGTTTTCTTCTGATGAATTGAAAGAAAAAATTGAAACGGGGCAAAAAGGAAAAGGTTTTTCTTAATTTTAAAAATTTAAAAAAAAAATTTAAAAAAAAATTCGAGTTTTTTGAAATTTTATTTACTTAATTCCTAAGGCTGTTAGTAGGCGGCTTGGTGTAAAGGTTAACACATCAGTCCGGTTACTGAAGATGCTGGTTTGCTCGCAGCCGCCGATTAACCGTTTACACTAGCTTAAGGAATAAAATAGCTTAAAAATTTCTGAAAAAATTTTTTCCTCGTTTTTAGATATTCTAAAATAGAAAAAAATATTTTTATAATTTTTTAAAATTTATTTTTAAATATTATTAAGTGTCCAAATTCCAATTTATCTTTTTTATCTTCTTTAAAAGTTTTCATTTCTTAGGTGTCGAAATTTTACACATTTTTGGTGATTTTCTTTGGTATATTTTTTAAATATTTATTTTGGTCTACTTTCCTTTTATGTCTCATAAAAGTTCAAAGGTCTATATATTTTTCAAAAACAACCCCTCTTTGATAGGAGAAGTTAATTATTTTTGCGGACAAAACTTGCGGACTTTTTTAGACATGAAGAAAAAGGGCCATTTTGTAGTTTAAAAAATAATAATTTTTTAAAAGGGAATCTGGTTCAAGACGTTCATTTCCTCAATTTATGTCAGATTGTGTACATGCTGCTTTAAATCCACAAACTTCTCAAAATGATGAAACTGATAATTTGGTTATTTATTTTTAATAAAATTTGATTGTTAAAAACAATATAACGGGGGAATTAGAGAAAAAAGGAAGAGGAGGGTAAAGTTCAAACTTGTCTAAATTTCTTTTTATCTAAAACTATCAACTCTCACTTGTACGACAACTCATGAAAAAAATTGACGTTAATGGTTTAAGTGTCGTTGTTCGCTGTATGGGTTGAAACACCAACTTTGGAGTTATTTTTTTTTGGTTAGAAAATTTGTCATTCATGTTTGTGAGTGACAAGTAAGTGTGGGTGTCGTGACCGGACAATCCGTCAGTGGACAATCCGGCAGTGGAAAATCCGTCAGTGGACAATCCGTCAGTGGTCGGACAATCGGTCAGAGGACAATCCGTCAGTGAGCAAATTCGTAATTCCTACCTATACTCAAACTATCGCAGCCAAAAATTTTCATTTAATCATGTGGGGGATTATAAGAGGTATCGAAAATATGTAGATTAATGAGGAAATCGGCAGATTTAGCTGGATTAAAAGCAATCCAGTGGGCAATGTGATTGAATTACGCGAATGTCGATGGCTTTAGAAGGATATCGGGGATTTGGATGGATTAGATTTACGTGATTAACGTGTGGATTTGGTAAATATTTGGTAAATATTGTAGAATTTGGGTAAATATCGTGTGATCATGGAACTCGATGAATAAGAGAGATTGTTTTTAGAAGGATATCATGGAACAACCGCTAAATCCTCTTAACCAGCCTATATCCGCTGATATCCCCTTTTATCACGAAATCCATCTTAATCCCCCAAATTCCCCGTTAACCACCATAATACTACAAATCTATGGGTGGGAATTATGAATTTGTTCACTGACGGATTGTCCACTGACCGATTGTCTGACTACTGACGCATTGTCCACTGACGGATTTTCCACCGCCGGATTGTCCACTGACGGATTGTCCGGGAGCCGTGGGTGTCGTATAAGTGAGATTTGACTGTCCAATATGTGAATATCCAGGGATCCCCCCACCCCGAAATAAGGAAAGATTGGGTAAGTAAAATTTTTTGTCTATAACCTTCAAAATAAAAAAAAATTTTTAAGTATATGTCACTTTGGAATTTTATGGGAAAATCTATACTTAAAGATGATGAGCAATTAATAAATTTAAACACGGAAAATATATCCTCAAAATTAAAGAATGAAGCAGAAGAATTGCTAAAAATTGAAGAGTCCTCGTTAACTAGTGAAGAAATGGATAATTTGGTTTGTTTAATTTTTTAAAAATAAATTCCATTGGTTTTGGGGTATTACACTTTGGGAAACGGGAATATTGTCTGTGTGTATAGGCTGGACGTGGCTGGAATTTCTGTCCGCAATCTTAAAAAAAGTCCGCAAAAATGATGCGGATTTTAGGAAATCTAAAATTTTTCAAAAAAATTCAACAAATTTTTATTGTTACCAATTAAATGAATATATAGGGTTATAAGAAAAAAATAAAAAAATTATCTCTTTTTTTTGTTCGAATAATTTAAAAATTTTTATTCGTTGAAAATTTTTGCCTTTAACAAGGGAACATTCTTTACTGCCACCACGAATTCGGTATTTTTTTGGTACCATTCGATAGAGGACTCTCGATTTACTATTGTTGTATGCGAGTTTTCTTGCAAAATTAGTTAGGGCCGAGTTATGGCCGTTTAAAGTTAGACCGCTAGAGTCTGGATTTATATTATATATATATAATTCGTGGTGACAGTAAAGAATGTTCCCTTGTAAGAAAAATGGTTTTTGCGGACTTTTTAAAAACATTTCTTTATAAATAATTTTTAAATTAATTTTTTATTAATTAACTTATTTTTTCCCCAGCTTTTCAATATTTTCTTCTCTGCAATAAAATATCAATTAACACCGGCAAGTAAATTTCCATTTGATGCTGGCCAATTTTATGCAAATTATATAATTAAAAATATACCGGTTGGGAAAAAATTGGAAATTAAAAAGACGAGGTTTTTTTCTATTTTTATTTTAAAATTAATTTTTTTTAAATTTAGTTATAAAAAATTTACAACATTTTTAGAAGAAATTAATAATAATGAAAATGGATGGGTAGTTAAAGTTAAAACAATCAAAAGTATTAATTTTATTGAAAATGTAATTTAATTTTTATTAAATCATATAAGTTGTTGATATGGTGTAGTGGTTAGGACTTCCGTCTTTTAGTTATTGAGGATGTGGGTTCGATGCTTTTCGATGGAAAACCTTTCCTACTTGAAGATTTTCGCTCTTTCTTTCTTAAAAAATTTTTTTAATGCTACGAAAATTTTTTTAATTTTCTTTAAAGATAAATTTTGATCACCCATATGTCCAAAATGCTTTGCCTTTTGATGAAGATTTTTCAAATTCTGATTTAAAACATTTACCGTCCCAAACATCAATAAATATTTATGAACAAATGTTTTCATTAACAGAACAAGTTATGCCTATTTTTAGAAATAGAGGACATCGAAGAGGTGATTTGGTTAATGTTCAAGAAATTCGTTCAATTCTTTTAGAATATGCAAAAGAGAAGGTTTGTGATTAATTAAATATTTTTTAGTTGATGGATTAAAATGCCTCCCAGGGCTGGTCATTTTTGGGATTTTTGGACCTTTACTGGGACTTCTATTTTTGTCTAGTTTTTATACAAATTTTCTCCCTTGAGTTTTTCTTTCTTAGGAAAATAATCGAGAATTAAAGTGAAATGTCCGCAAAAATGGAAAAAAGTCCGCAAATTTTGTCCGCAAAAATTTCAAATCAATTTTAGAATTTAATTTTAAATGATGGAAAAGACATCACTTTGGACGATGATACACTCCAAATGGTTGTAAAATATTTCTTGCCCGAAACATTTCCAGTAAAAACACTTATACAAAAACTATGTGAAGCTATGACAAAGGCTGTACTTGTAAAAACAGCAGGAGGAAGAGAATTAATTTATAGAGGAAAAGTGCCTAATATTGAATTTAAGGTTAATTTTTTTAAATATTAAATTAAAAATTACAATCAGAGGCATTATAGGATACCCCCTTGGGGCAGAAAAATCATATCTTATAATGAGATATTTGTTTAATAGAGGGTAAAACCTTATTATAAGACAGAACTGCCGTTTAAGCGATACCCTCTATTTAATATATACTTCATTATAAGGTACCCTTTATTTAAGGTATACCCTATTATAAGATAACCTCAATATAGTACAAATTTCAGACCCAAGAGTTATCTTACAATGACGTTTTATTATTTTCAAGATAGAAAAACGTAGTGGAAATAAAATTGTAACGCTAGTTAATAACCTCGCTGCCTTTGGTATTGAAGCAAAAGATATTGCAAAAGAAATTAAAGGAACTGGAACGTCGATATTTCCAAATGTTCTAGGATGTGAAGGACCTCAATTGTTAATTCAAGGAAATGAGGTTTTAAATTTTTTTATTTTTAGAAGGTTTTAAAGGGGGAGTCGTCGACTTTTTTCCTTATTCTTTAACAAAAACAGGTCTATATTTTAAAAAACTTTATTGTTGAATGAGTCTTAGGCTTACTTTCCTAAAATTATTTTCAAGTTGGAAAAATTTAGGTTAGGTTTCTGATAATTTCAAAGTATCTGGTAGCTCAACTCATTCCATGGTGTCGAGTAGGGTAGCACGAGACCGTTTAGAAACCTCGTTTATTGTTCCCTGTGGCGGGTCAAAAAGAGAAGAGAAGGAAAAAGTCCGCCACAGAAACAATTCCCTTCCAAACATCTCTTCTTTTTAAAAAATTAAATTTTAAAGGTAAACGAAGTTACTAGACTGCTTACCGATATGGGAATTACCAAGAAATTTATTAAAGGGATTGATTTGGGTGTTAAAGAGAAGAAGAAAAAATAGAAACAGAATTTTATTGATTTTTTTGGTAAATTAAAAATTTTTGCAAAAAATGATAAAGATAATATTCGGGTAGTTTTGATATTTTTAATAAAAAAAGAAACAATTTAAACATGATTCAAAATATCTATTTAATATGAAAAAGGAATTTTTAACGTAGGGGAAAAAACAAATTTATGAATTTTTTGCGGAATCCGCAAAAAAACTTGATAAAACTTAAAAAAATAAAGCATTATATGAAGAAACAAAAATAAATTTCTAAAAGAAAATTGAAAAAAAATTCAAAAGAAAAAATTTTTTTAGAAAAAATTGCAATGTCATTTTGGGCATAAGGACGGATAAAAATGTGAAAAAAACAAAATGAAGAAAAAAACCTCAAAATTTAAGGATTGTCATTTAAATTTAGAACAATTGATTTTTTTGAGTTATCATCATCGGCACAATGTTCATTAACAACAATCTAAAGAAAAAAAATTTTGGATTTTTGCGGACAAAATTTGCAGATTTTTCGAACAAGTAATTTTTTCAAAAATTTGAAGGAAATTTTGAGAAAAATTTAAATTTTAAAAAAATCCGCAAAATTTTGTCCGCAAAATTATGCGGACAAATTTTTGTCCGCAAAAAATTATTTTCAAAAAATAATTTTCTGAAAATAATTTTAAAAAACAACTTAAAACTAACGGTAATTTTCTTTGGTGGCGAGTCATTACAAGTTGTTGTAGAATTATTATTTTGTGTAGATGAATGTTTTCTACGTCTATTACCAACAAAAATTCCTTCTTCCTCTTCCTCATTACCTCCATTTTGTTGTTTATTTATTGGAAAAGAATTTCTATAAGAATTTGTTTGTTGCCCATTAAAAGAAGAATTTAATGCAGACATTGATGTTGAACCACCAGTTAATATACGTAACCAATTTGGTTCGTTTCCGATTGATAAAAGTATACGTTCAAAACGATGGGAAGATGATGAACCAGACAACAATTGTTTTTGTTTTTTATGTCTAGAAAAAAGTAAGGAAATTTTTGGGGGTATTTAAAAGAAAGATTTGCGAAGAGAATATTTGCGGGGATTAACAAAAAAGTTTTGAAACGCGAAAAAAATATTGGAAAGTATTGAAAATAGAAAATTACAAAAATGTCGGGGGAATAGGATTTCTAACCTCTACTACCAATAAAACATTTTCTCCACAAAATGTATCAGGGATGAGTTGGATTACCGAATACTCAACCCACGACCTTTTTCAACTCGAACCCCGACCCAAAGAAAAATTTGAAGATCCGACTTCAAATTCCTGAATTTATCCCTGAATTATTCAATCCTGAATTTATTAGGTATCCGCAAATGCCCTCTCCTCAAAATTTTCCCCTTTAAATAAAAAAAAACAAACCTTTCGTGAATATTTAATATCAACATATCAATAACAAATTTTTCATACAAATAAGAAAGCACAGAACTTAACAAGGCCAAAGTTAGAATAAATAAACGATCTTCAATATATGGAATTGGGTCTAAAAAATAAATTAAATTAAAAGGAAAAATTATTTTTAAATTAAAAAATTAAACCAAATTCTAGCCATTCAATAATAATTTGAGGTGGTTCTATACAAATTATTAAAGAACATATTCCAACAGCAAAAAGAGAAAGGCACAAAGGTTTGTTACTAGAAATAAGAAAATTTTTGAGGAAATTTTTGAAAACTTTTTTTTTTGGAAAATTTTCAAAAAAAAATAAAAAATTTTTGTCCGCAAAATTCTTGCGGACAAAAATTTTTAGAGAAAAATTTTCTAAAGTTTTTTATAATTAAAAAATTCTTTAATTGAAAAAAACAAACCTAAAAATAGCTCTTCTATAAGGAAATCCTTTACTATAAATAATTGCTAAAGTAATATATTGAAACATTGAAACACAAAAAACAGCTGTTCCTTGCATTGAACGTCTATCATCTGGTTCTGGTCCAGCTGGGGTTGCATAAGGGATAAACCTTTAAATTTTTTATTAAAAAAATGTCTTTATTCGACGACTATTTTAATGTAGATTTTATTTATAATTTAAAAAATTAATTTAAGAAATTACAAACCATGGTTGCATACTTGTATAAATAAAAGTAAAAACCTACAAAATTATCAATTACATTTATTTTTTTCAAAAATTAAAAGTTTTACTTGAAAGAAGGAAATAATTGTTAATTGCCCAATAACAGAAAATATAGAAGCTAAAGATAATAGTCGAGTTGGTGGAGGTATTTTTGCTAAACGTTCACAAGCTGGAGTGTAACCAAAAAAGAGAGAAACAAGTGTTACAAGCGCCAAGTCAATATAAAGAAACTTAAAAGAAAAATCATAATTTTTTAATCAAAATAACAGTCACAACTCACTATAAGATATACCCTTAAGACTAAAAAATCCGGAACGCTTCAAAATACCAGAACCCCAAAAGTCTTATACGGGCATTTATTTTGACATTTCGACGGCTTTTGGGGGTTTGGTATTTTGAAGTTTTTGGTATTATGCAATTTTGAATTATGAAAGCATTTCAAAAAATTTTATTTTAAATGGGAAACATCATGTAGGGAGCTACCCACTTAAAGCCTAACTAAAATTTTGAAAATCTAACGTTAATCACTGGTGAGACTAGTATTGGGAGGCATCTTATAATGAATTTATTTATCTATAAATTTAAAAAAAACCTGTAAATCAGTCAAATTAGTATTTAACCAATAAAGCTGCATTATTGTAACAAATTGTGTCAAAGAATATCCAGCCATATATTTAAAAACTCCAAATGAAGTAACCAAAGCTGCCCTTCCTTCGCGAATAACAGTTGGGACACAGCGAATATCTGGCGTTTTAGAAGTAAAGGGAGCAGCAATTGAAGCTTCTGCTTCGGATAAAGAAATTCCTGCATGAGCGGCCTAAAAAATTATTATGAAAAAATTTAGTTTAATAGTAAGTTAATAAACGTTTGGGAACACTAAAAAAATTTTTTGTGGACTTTATAGTTTGCGGACATTTCTATTTTTGAAGACTTTTCTATTAACTTTCTCTCGGATTACTTTCCTCTCTATTTTCGAGGAAACTATTTTAAAAATAGAAAAGAATCCGCTTATAAAAAATATACAAATTTACTTTTAAAGCAGCACAATCATTAGCTCCATCTCCACACATTGCCACTGTATATCCAACATCTTGAAGTTGATTAACCAACTTTTTGAAAAAAGAATTAATTTGGTCTTAAAAATAATTTAAAAACCAATTGTTTTTGATCAGGTGACATTCTTGCATAAACGTCACAAACACATATCAATTGTTCCAATATTTCTGGATATTCTTCACATATAACACCTAGAAAATTGAAAACATTTTTAGAAAAATTTTTGAAAAATTTTTTTTTGGAAATTTATCCACAAAAAATTTTCTAAAAAATAAAAAACGAAAAAACAAACTTAGAGTTGGACCAGAAATTGCCAAATGATACGAAGATTCTGCACTTTTTGCTGGTTGTTGATTTTGTTCATAACAACAAGAGAAAGTGTCCTCTTCAAGTTCCAACTGTTAAAAAAAATTTTTTTTTCAAATTTAAAAAATATTTTCAACTCACAACTTCATCAGAAGAACTAACAGATTGTTTCAATACTAAATGTGTTCTTCCATCTCTACATTTTGTATCACCAGCTTCCAACAAAAAAGATCTTTTATTTGGGCGTATAATTCCACATTCACGTGCTACACTCATTGCTTTAAATTAAAAAAAAATTTTTTCCAATTATTTTGAAGAAAATACCAGTAAGTATATTATCTCCAGTAATCATTATTGTTCGAATATTTGCTCTAAAATTTAATGAAAAATTTTTTCTTATAAATTACTTTTACGGAAAATTATATTTCAATAAGCGAAGCCGCAAAAAAATTATTTTTTTTGTTTATTTTTATGGTAATACCGGACAAAGATCCCCAGGTTTCTACTGAGAAGTATTTGAAAAATAATTTTGGGCCAAATTATGCCAAGGGCGTATCCAGCAGCTGGAAATGACGGGAGTTAACCCCACACCCTTTGAAATAATAAATTTTCCTATAAAAACACCAACCTATTTAATTGATTAATAACTCCAATAGTTTGGGGCTTCAATCTATTCTCCATAACAATTAATCCCAACA